GGAGACCCTGCCCAGCCCAGTTTCCTCCTCTGCCAGTGAGTAGAGAAACCAGCAATTTGAGAACATTAATATCCCACGCTCTTTGCTTAACACAACCTGTTGTTTTCCCTCCTGGGCTGTTCTTCAGCACAATTTGTACTTTTCTGGCCCAATTTATCACTTTTAATGCAAACTGTAGTTACGAACAGTGTCATTCATTAGCAACGCGGTTTAAAAAAAAAAAAATAATTTTCCTGCAGATCTTTTCTTAGTAGGGACTTTGTTCTCAAAGCTTTAATTGCTACAAAGAAAAGTTTGACTATTAGTTTTTTTTTTTTTGTTTTTTTTTTCTGGATCTAAACCTGTTTTCTGAACAAATCTGAATTAACCTCAGTGCATAAATTCAACATGTCCTTGTGAAATCCCACGTGTTCCCACCATTTCTTCACCTTTGCAGACTAACGCCCGTTTACCTCCCCTTCTGTTCAGTCCTCACCAAAACCCTTTGTCCTGTTTTGCTCATTTTTTCTTACTGCCCTTGAGTAATCTGTGTCACAGAGACTTTCTTTTCCACGCAGCATGTAGTGTGACAACGTATCTTCAGTTTCTTTAAACCTTCTATCCTCCAGTCCTTAAATCGTGATAAAACTGGATTTTTACCTCTGCTGCAGAGTTTGACCCACCTGATGCAGTTGGATTCTGGCAGAGACTGAGGACTTTTCAGAGACAGATTATTTTTTTTTTGCTACAACTATCATTTTAAGGTATTAAATTGGTCTCAGGAGTAAGACACAATAAGCACAGAAGACTAACCAGCAACACTGCTAACAAGGAGCTCTGAAAACGCTTTCTCCAGGGCTCAACAGTTTGGCTTGACCAAATTTAAAGGCTTAGAAACAAAGAAAACATCCTGGGAGGGGATGAAGGTCTCTTAAATAGACATCACTGCAGTGGGGGAGAGCCCGCTGGGGCTATCAAGGCAGACGGGGCTGTTTGGGGGGGGATTTTCCTTAATACTTCATGTGAACCTTCCATCTCACACGTGCGTCTTTCTGCCCGTCGGTCTTTATGCAGGTGGAATTCCTCAAGACACTGATAAATGTCTAGAGAGAAACTTATCCAAAAGGGAGGTGATGATGAGATGTTATGGTGGGGAAACCGTCCTGAAAAAGCTGGGGAAACAGGGAGCACATAGATCATCCTACCAACCAGCTCCAGATAAAATACTTCGTGTGCTCTGTGGCTGGGAAAAGGACCCAGACAAAGTGAGCATTCGGAAACCAGAAGGGAGGATGTATGGAAAAGCAGAAAAAATGGTGGTAACTGAAGTTATTCCAGTCAGGTTTCTATGCCTTTGGTCTTCTTCCATTCATGGCCAATGGAGCTACTCTGGTGGGAAAGCATGAAACGCCATGGTGAGGATATGATCTCTCCTCCACAGGTAAAACAGAAAAAAATCGCATCTATGTCTGCTTTCTGCAATGCCTTTGGGGTCTCTGAGCTTAGTTTTGCACCCCTAGATCCTGAAAACCATTAACTTTGCTCTGGGACTCTTCCAAGGCAGTTTTAGAGCTCCTGCTGTATCCCAGTCTTGTGTCCTCACTCTTCTGATGTCAGCTTGTTCAGTCAAGTTCTGGGAATCAGTTCTGAGCTGGGAACACTGCAAATGTTAACAGCCTGGCTGCATACATTTTCCTGGAATCTTTCATATGCTAAAAAGCTCTTTCTTTGTGTTTCATGGGTTTGGAGTAGCAGAATTATTCATTGTTCTATGGTTATAGTCTGGTTCATGTCCTAGTTTTATTCCAGTTTCTGATCATTGAATCCTGTAGAGGACTCCATAGGTCGAGGGAGGGGATTCTCCCCCTCTACTTTTCTCTTGTGAGACCCCCCTGCAGGGCTGGGTCTAGCTCTGGGGCACCAACAACAGAAGGACACGGACCTGCTTGAGCGGGGCCAGAAGAGCCCACGGAGATGCTCGGGGGGCTGGAGCCCCCCTGTGAGGACAGGCTGAGAGAGTTGGGGGGTTCAGCTGGAGAAGAGAAGGCTCCGGGGACACCTTAGAGCGGCCCCCCAGGGCTGAAAGGGGGGATAGAAAAGGGGTAACAGTTTTAAACTGAAATAGGGAAGGTTTAGATCAGATGTAAGGAAGAATTTCTTTAATATGGGGGGGGTGGTGGTGGTGCACTGACAGAGAAGCTGTGGCTGCCCCCTCCCTGGAAGGGTTCAAGGCCAGGTTGGATGGGGCTTTGGGCAAGCTGGGCTGGTGGAAGGTGGCCCTGCCCGGGGCAGGGGGGTTGGAACTAGATGGTTTTTAAGGTCCCTTTCAACCCAAACCCATTCTGTGATGGTCCTCAAATGTCAGTAACACCTTTGTAACCCATTTCAGCTGTTGCTTCTTATCTCGTCCTGCCCGACGCTGTGATCTGCAGCGGTACTGACCCCTCAGGGACACAGACACATCCTTGGCACTCCTAAGCCACACTGGATATTTCTGACGTGCTAATGGGGCAGATGCTCGTGGTTCTTTCCTTCTCCTGCATGGCAGGGCCGTTCTGCCAGGGGCTGCACTGCGGTTCCACGTCCTCTCCAGGTGGTCCTGCTCGGTTGCTGTCACGGTGCCACACTCCTCTTGAGCCTCTGCAGTTCACACTGCGTGCGCTGGCAATAACTTTTTGCGGAAAAGGTGAAGATTTGACATGGGCCCTTTGCTGTGAAGAAAGTACAGCCTATGCCTGCCCCTACTGAATTTCCCAGTCCAATTTTGGCTTTTAAATCTGTCCTTAAACCTTTATTAATTCTCCTGTTAACCCCAAATCCTTCCCTTCTTCTAGGCAGGAGCCCAACCACAGCTCTTGCTGTACAGACACCCTCACCCTGTGGGTGTCCACCCCTGGCTGCTTTGGCCATCACTCCGCTGCTGCCCAAGCCCGTGTTCACTGGGAGGTGTGAGCAGAGACCCAAGCTGCTGCTGACTCTCCAGCCTAGACTAAAAAGTGCATGTGGTTTTATTGCTGAAAATGTGCATGCAGCTGCTCCATCGCTGTCAGTGCTCGCGGGCTGGGGAGGAGGAGGAGGAGGTTGCAGTGAGAGCTCTGAGCAGCCACCGTGGGCATCGCTGCGATTCTGCCCCAGCAATGCCCAGGGTCAGAAGTCTTCCTACATTCATGATTATTTTATTGGTGCATTCAAAATGCAAAAAAGTCTCTGGAGGGGGTTCAGGCTGCCTCTGTGAGTGCAGCTTGCCTGCAGCACAGACCGCAGCCCAGCCCCGCTGCCATCCCCCTCTGTGTGCAGCTGCCCTGGTACGTTTACGCACCAGACCTTGAAGATGTTCGACTGTTTGTTTTCCTTTCATTGCCATAAGCAAATTCACTGACTGTGAAAAGGGATAAATTAGCATCTCCGAAGACTGAGTCTCTCTTTATTCTGAAAGCAAGCAAAGGGGAACAGCAGCTCGGGATCCCTCATCCTCCCTCCCCGCACCGCGCCAGCACAGCTCTCTCTGGAACTGGCCCAAACCACAGCTACTCCACATTTTTGTGAGTCATACAGATTTTAAACATCTGGCTGCGCCTGTGACCACGGAGAGCAGCGGTAACTTCTTAGCTGAGACTAAATGGGCTGATCACTGCATTGATTTTTAGCCTGTACTCTACAGACTGAGTGCAGTTACTTGTATTTCAAAGAAATCTCTTTAAACCATATTGTTTCAGTTCCAGCACTACTATCACAAGCCTGCACAGCTCTCTGCTGCTCCTCTGAGCCATGGGGCACGAGCAAGCCTCATGTGCCAGGCTACTGCGTTGGGGCGCCACACATCTCACCTGGGGTCTCACCCCAGGCTCTGCCTTCTACCAGGACCTCCTGTGCTGGCCTCCAGGCAGCTGCCTGCCTCTCCTGGTGTGCATTCCCCAAAGTGCTGGGCGAGTCAGACCTGCCTAGCAGTAAAATTCACAGTGGCCAGACCCAGCTGTGGGGTGCAGAGGAGATGCTGGGTGAAGCTCAGAGCCCCTCAGCTGCCAGCCTGGGCTCCGAGTCCTGCAGTCACGGCAGGTCCTGGGGGAAGTCTGTATTTTTAGACTGTCTGCCTTTCCTTGCGCACCGTGGTAAAATGTTTATCAGCCCTTCTGCCTATGAGACCTCTGAAGTAAGCGGGGAGGCACTGGGCTGGGCACTGCTGGGCTGTTCCCAGCAGCCAGCAATGAGGATGGGAACGGCGGGTGTGTGAGCGCCGAGCAGAGGGGATGCTGATGTGGACAGACACGCTCTGTCCCAGTGTGGTCACTCTCCTGCTGTTGCAAATTCATACAGAGAACAGACAGAAGATAGACAAAGCCCACGCTTGCTCTCTTCTGGCCTTTCACCCACACATCTGGCCCAGCTGTGTGTCTCCCTGCAGCATCCCCCCTGCCTCTGGCAGGTGGTGCCTGTCCCTGCCTTCTTGCTGCAGGTCCCAAAGCAAGGACAAGATGTGCAGAAAGGTTGGCTTAGCTTGAGTAGAGCTGGGAAGAGCACAGCTGCTGAAACAACTGGTCAGATTTAAGACCATAATACCTGCGATTTCTGCAAAGCGCCTTTCTGAATTCCCAAGTGTGGCTGTGTGTCCTGTTCAGGTTTCCCCAGGTAATGGCACAGTTCCTTATCACGCCAAAGCTGGCCTGGATTTCTGTTGTGCCTTCCCTATGTCTCAGTACCTTCCCCACCTACAGCAAGGGTTTTACAGCTCAGAGTGACCCTCTGTTATTTTACAGGAGCCGTAAGTTGGATCCAGGAAATTTCCTTTGAAAGCATGCTCTGAAGCACGGTTTGAATTTTAACCCCAATTCTTCCCTTCATTTGCATGATCCTTGCTCAGCTGCGGTCCCCATGGCTTCTGAAGGGCATCGACCAAAGTGAAGTCTGTCAGTATAAAGACTACTAATGATCACTCTTGGTCCCAACGGGGCTGAGCTGCCTCAAGCAATTCTTTCAGCCCTTCCAGTCTTTACCAACTGATCACAGACCACATCCTGCACAGGTATCCCAAACCTGGATCTTTATTTATAAAATTACTCATACAGGGACACACAGTCCTCAACCACTTTGGCTTGACAGGGCAAAAATTACTAGTCAGGGCACAGTGAGACCTCTGAAGACAAGTGGAACTAATTTGCTGGGGGCTGGTTTGTAGATGCGAAGCCTCTTTATGCGCTGCTTTAGGGAACAAGCTCGTGTTCTTACACTGCTGAGTATATGCCAATGGATGCCACCATGCTATGTACAGACTTTAATAAGAACTTTTCCCCTAAATTAGATGGAGGAGATGAAAATGGCTTGGTAAAATGATGCGACCTTGGAAAGTATTCCCAGAGAGCTCTGGAGCAACTCAAGCACAGACACGCAGTAAATTATTCAAAGGGCTGCCTCCATTTCTCTGCTCCTTTCCTTCCAGGTTATCAAAAATCCACAGAGTGGGATATAATTTCTTCCTTCTGGGGCTATATTTAAATCATCCCTGCCAGCCATGGTGGGAGGAAGAGACCAACAGTTCCCAGCAAACACACAATGATGAACATCCAGAGGAAGATCCTGTCAATGACCATTGCAACGTACTTCCAGTCTTCCTTCACCTGGGAACACAGAGATGAAAGGCCCTTTAGTAACGTTTATTTGAGACTAAAACTTATGAAGACTACTAGTGCTTTAATTCCAAAACAAGATACTTTCATTTAAGCCCAGAGATAGGAGGGGAAGGTCTTGCTTGAATTATTTAGTGGTCCTATATGATGGCAAAGATTCGTTCTATCACTCTCTGGTTCCCAGACTGTGTGGGTGTGCATGTGCAATTGCAAACCCTGCTCACTGCTCCCCAGGGGTGACATACGCCCGTGGATAATTAAGCTCATCTGCACACTCACTATCCCATTTTCCATGAGTAACAGCTGTAATTGGGTGTGTAAATGAGGCAGCGATTCAAGCTGGGGTGGGGGGGGGGGAAGAAATTACTCCCTTCCCCATGCTCGTGAGCAGATTTGCTTACAGATGAACAAAGCCAACTCTTTCTGCAATGGGATTTACAGCTTTGGGTGAGTAAGCAGTGAAAATGAATCAGAAAATAGAAGTGGTCTTCCTCACTCTGCTTTTTTTTCCCCCCTTTTGTTTTGCTGTGGGAGGATTTTCCAGCGATTCCTCTCTGGGGAGGTCTAGTACTTATTAATACCATCAGGCAAGAATTGTAAATGGCTATTTCATTAAGTAAGAAACCACATACATATGAAAACCTCTTTTATTACATTGCTGTTATTAATTTCTTTCCCAGGAAGAGGACTGATCAGATGGCAAAGTTTTATTTGATATGGCTGTACCCATTATAATCTCCTACAATATACCACTTGGTGATTAATAGACCCGAGGGCTGAAATTTGGCACGCTGCCGTGCTCTTTAGGGAAAACAGCTCAGCAGGAGCCAGCTCAAACCTCTTCAGCGGCCGTGGCTGCAGGTAGTCAGGAGCGTGGTGTGAGGAGGAGACAGCAAAGCCAAGGCTGCATTTTGCTGGGGCTGCGTTACTGTGACCCTGAGCAAACAGTGGTTTCGCCATGCCCAAAGCTGCCTTGTACTCTGGGCCGTAGCATGAGTGAAAAGCACAGCACAATGGTCATGTAACACTAATGGCACAGGCCTTGTCATCCACAGATCCTAGGTTTGTTTTAAACTGAGATAATAATGAGGGAGTAGCCAAGAACAGTAGGTGTGAGCTAGAACACAATTTGTAGGAGACTTGGCTGGATTATTATTATTTTTTTTTTTTAAGGATTTGCTGATTATGCTGAAAATTCGTTTTGGTAAAGGAAGCAGTCCATAGAAATAGCCATTTGGAGCAGATGATGTTTTCACAGGTATAGTGGCATCTTCAGGTCCTAAAATAATTATGATCTGTTAAGCACCAAACAAACAAGCTGTGAGCACAACACAGTGACTCTGTAAACTCACCTTGAGTCTTCTCTCTCTTCACCAGTCATGGATGCACCACTAAATTTTATCTTACACCTTGTGGATGGTACAGCGAAATCATGATGTGTCAGGAGAGAATATCCAATCCCGGCTTCCGTGCCCAATGTTGTGACATTTTATTGAGCTAGGAGAATTATTCCTTGCAGGTAAGGTACGTGCATTTACCTCATTTTTGGCATGGCGAACCCTTCACAAACTGATCATGAACCTTCCAATGTATTTGTGAAGTACCTGTCATCACGCTGAGCCTCACGGCAGACAAGGTTTAGCTGAAGTAACGCAGCCAAGTGAGCTCTTTAACTACACCTCTTACTATTTGCCATGTGGACTGCTTGGTTAGGCCTTTAAAACATCTGGTATTGTTCTGGCCCCTTGGCTTCGAAAGCAGCTTTGTAAATTGGGAAATGAGGCAACACGCTGGAGAGCAGATCGTATTTTCCCATCATTTGTTCTCTGAACAAAGCACCTTAAATTTCAGGAATACCTGAACATTTTTTTTAAAGTGTAAGAATCGGTTAAATATTTTCATGCAATGGATAATTTTAATCCCTTTAAAAACAGAACCAAGTTAAGCAGGTCTTTACTATTCAATAGGCAGAGGTAAACAGATGTTCATCCTAAAGCTTGTCGGGGGAAACCATGTTGATTTATTATTGTCCAGCCCTTAGCACATCCAACTGTAAATAGGGTGAGTAAAAGAAGTAGTGACCCTTGAAATCTAAAGGAATCCTCTCATCCCAAAGATTAGGTCTCAGCGGGTAACTCCCCTTTGCTGCACTTGGTTTTGGATCCACCCGTCACTTGCTGAGAGTTGGAGTGAGTCTCTGATGCTTAAAATTCCTCATGGGAAGGGCAGCTAAGCAAGCTCTGGATGATTGTGTTTATGGGATTGGTGTTTCATGACGCAACCGACGTGTGACGAAAATCTGAAATTTACCAGCCAGTGTCCAACTGGAAAGCTGGATTGAGTAAATAGTTCAGGCAAAGTAAACTTTTCTGAGTATTCATGCTAGTAAAAGTAGCTAGATCACATGAAGAAACCAGATGAGTTTCTCTTTGAGAAGAGGAAAAATGGGAGAATAGGAACAACCTGAGAAGTTCAACAGAGATTTGCTTTCGAATGTAATGGTGGAGGCATAAATACCCAGCCCATCTTGAAAATGATGGCTGGGAGTGCATCAGGTGTTTGCAAAATCGATATCAAGCTTCAGACCGAAAGCACGGAAGGGTGAAATGGGAAATTATGGAGAGAGAGTAAAAAGAAAAGAGAAGGAAGAAAAGAAAACGATCTGAATTTTTTGGGTCTTTTTTCTGTGGCATTTCCCCGTGGTTCAGCACCTCACGTGGAGCACGATCCAGAGAGGCCTCTCTGACAACATCTATGCGGCTGTCAACATCTGCCACCCCAACTGTATTTTGATTAGTTTTTAAGAAGCTCACTCAAAACTATTTTGGGGAAAGGATCAGGGTCAGGAACCAGATGAGTCCCCCACCCCCAAGTTCCCCAAAAAGTGCAGGAATCTGCAGCTCTTCCCTGGCCCAGCGCCTTGCAGGGTGGAGCAGAGCATCCTGCCCTAGGACCCCGCAGAGGCTGGAGGTGCCTTTATCATTCCCGAGCCTCAGGATCCAGAGCCTGCGACACAGATTAGAGCAGTCCTGGGGCGTTTTATTGCACTTTGTTAAAAATAAACCAGCGAGATTATCCCGTGTTTCCTCCCTCTCAGCTACATTCTCTCCCCATTTTTATTTTTTTTTTTTAAGCTGTCTTCAAAGTCTCCTTATTAGATTAGCCTGGAGATGCACACACGCATGAGGACAACACAGCTTTCCAGATGGTGCTGTTGGTGTCTGGTTATTTTGGCTCCTGTGTGACATGCAACTTGTTTTGCTTCTCAGTCTGTAATTAATTTCTAATGGCATTTCTATCGTATGCTGGGACAATTTGGTCTTGCATTTCCCCCAGTGTACCGTTGTGCGGGTATTGTTTGCAGATATCTTTTTGTTACAAACAACTGCCTCTTGCATTTCTCATTTTCTCTTTGCTGAAGCACTTAATTAAATGAGCTATTTACTTTTAATTTAGAAGCACTGCCCCTGTGGCAATGGTGTTTTAGGAAAAAAAAAAAAAAAAAAAAGACAGGAACTTCAAAAGCAGCTCTGTTTTCATTCTGGAAAGGTGCATGTCTCTGAAAATATTACCCAAGAGACAGCAAGCTGTGTCTCAGGGGCTGCAGCTGCATCAGAGCTGCCCGCTGATAGATTTGTTGAAGACTTCCATGAAGAAATGCCACAATTTGATTTTAAGATGAAAGCAAATTTCTGACTACTGGTTTTTGGTTTTTTTTTTCCCCAATAAATTCTCACTTTATTAGTTCAGTTCTGCTCCTCGCAGTAAATTTAAATTCCAGAAGATCCTGTTTTCTTCTCCTTTGTCATTTCCACCAGGAGAAGAAAAGTGCTTTCCCACTTAACATTAGATGGATGCAGAAAAATAAAATAGTCTGGTGCATGGGCAGGCCTGGGGGTGACCCCTCTCCGCTCATTGCTGAGAATTTTCCTGGTGCCTTTGCTCAGAGGCTGGGTAGGCAGGAGGTCTGGTCAGAGCCCTCAAAACTGCTCATTTTCCTCTGCTTTTGCTGTTTAACGCTGTAAATAGCTTTGTCCTCGGGATAACTGCTTCATTTAAAGAACGAAATAGTGGAAGATATAGGTAGAAAAATTCACGGTGCCTGAAGACTGTTTTTATTTTAAAGAAAGTCGCAATCAAGGATTAAAAGGAAAGAACCCTCGCAAGGTATTAATTGGCTCGGTTCTTGATGATATCAACAAGCTTAACAGAAAAAGAATCGGTTGAAATGGGAAGTATTATTGGTGTAATATTCTTTCATTTGCACCATGGGGAAACAAGTGAGTTAAAATCAGCTGACTGCCACGGGTTTGCTTGTGATTATTGCTGGGAGAAGAGAGCAGAGCTTAATTCCCTCAGTCCTAACGTGCTGGTGAAGTGCTTTAACCTGGCAAAGAATGCTGGGCTGCCAACTAATGAAGATGGGGACTCACGGCCCATCTCTGCTCCAGATTTGTTCCGTGACCTTGAAGAGGTCACCTCTTCTCTGTATTTTGGCCGTCACTCCTCAACGTGAGGAATAAACAGTTACTCCCTCAAAGGGATGTTGGGAAATACATTAAAGAACCGAGTTCTCTCAAACTATGGTACCGGAGAGTGTATAAATGGACAGTAGCACTTCATCTTTTGTTGCTGCTGCTAAGTGCTCAGTGCTGTGAAAAATGCAAAGACACTCTTCATGCCCTGGAAGCCTTGCATGAAAGTATTATGGCTGTGACTGTAGATCTTGAGAAAAATCGGACTGTGAGCATTGCTGACAGATCCCTCTGTGAAAAGCCAGGTAAGACTTTTCTTTAGTTAAGAACAGTAACTTCAGGTTATCTTGTGGCTTCCTTCGTTATGCCCATAATTAGCTGGCACACTGTTCCCATAGTATCGCCGGGGAAGAGCTCCAAGAGGTGTGAATGGATGTGGCATTTGTACATGCATCACCATCTCCATGAAAAGAAATTCTTTCAGGCTCTACTTTCCTTCTCTATTTGTAGCCGTATTTACCCCTTCAGAGGAAGTGTGAAATTTCCCTGTCCACCCACCTTCCTGCCCAGAGCCAACTGCTCCAGTGGAAGTCCACTGAGGAGGCATTGCATCACGCAGAGCTAAACATACCCTGCAGCGTCCCCGCGCTACTATGCTCTTCCCACACCCGCAACCTATTTTGGGAATTTGCTTTCCCAGGCTCAGTAGCCAGAGTCAATGCCTAATAAAAACCAGAGTGTGAACTCCCCGTCTGCCAGAGGCTTCTCCATAAAGAACGTCTGCTACGTTCCCAGCAGATGACTGGGGTTTTTTTGGATCTTCCACAATCTTAGCTGTTTCCTTCCTACCTAACAACAATTTTACTCCTATTTTCTGCTGGAGAATCCTATTTTTCTAGAGCAGCTCTGAGCACGGTCTGGTGGTGCCACCCCCTTGGCCCACATGCCTGCTAAGACCCCAAAGGACAAACTCTCCAGCTGTGCCTATAGTGGCCGATGTGTACAAAAGTCACAATATCAGGGATGGCCGAGCCTGCCTCAGCAAACACACTCCCTGTGCAGCCCCCAGGTTTGGTGGGGCTCCCTTGGCAGATAATTTTGGACTGGCTCAAGGAGAGCAGACTGAATTAGTGTACTTACTGAGAAATCCGCATCTTCTGCCCGCAGGTGGTCCGCGATGTAGTGAACCCCTTCCACTGCCAGCTTCAGGGCTGGGGACATCAGCACAAGATGTTGCTCTTTGGCGTTGTGATTCTTGCTTCCTTGAGCTGGTGTGCCAGCTGCCTCGCTCCTTTTGCATTTACACTTGCACTGAGAGGGCTTGTTCTGCGGCTGCTCTTCATTTAGGTGGCACCGCTGGGATGCTGGAGAGCCAGTGGATTGGCCATTGGTCTGGGAAGAGTCCTCCTGCAAGTAGCAATACTGGATACTCCGGGACCTACAGCGGATATTCCCTTCCTCTGCCTTATGGGGGCTGTACATCTGCTGAACACTTAGCGATCTGCCTTTCAAGATGGAGGTGGTCTGGGTGTCACTCAAGGGGTGGCACGAGGGTTGTGGAGAGGGGCAGGTCACCTGTACAGGCTCTGGGTGCAACACAGAGTACTGCCCAGAAGGGGACTTGCAGACGGGCTGAGGCTTGGCCGGCTCCTCGAGGTGGGCACAGAAGGAAGAGGTGGGTGATGGATCATTACTCTGGGGGCTGGGGGAAGATGAGGTAGTGAAGTTGGGTTCCGCATCGAGCTCGGACCAAAGCCTTGGTGTATTGGTTATTTTGTGCATGGATTCAATGAGCTTCTTGCAATTGTCTTTCACTGCAGAGGGACGTTTCATGAAGAGGAGGCGTGGGACTATGTCAAGGAAGATCCTCCTCACCCAGTCGGGCATCGTGTGGGTGCGTGGGGAACGATGGTGCACGTTGAGCACAAAGACAGTGATGATAATAGACAAGGTAACGAATATCATGGTGAAGAGAAGATACTCTCCAATCAGAGGGATGACCAAGGAGGTAGAGGGGATGATCTCCGTGATGAGCAGCAGGAACACAGTGAGGGACAGCAGCACGGAGATGCACAAAGTTATCTTCTCTCCACACTCAGAGGGCAGGTAGAAGACCAGGACAGTCAGGCAGGAGATTAGCAGGCAGGGGATGATCAGGTTGATTGTGTAGAACAGTGGCAGCCTCCGGATAATGAAGGAGTAAGTTATATCCGGGTAGATTTCTGTGCAGCATTCATATTTCTTGCTGTTGTAATTGCCCACAGCGTTGATGATGACCCATTCCCCGCTCTCCCAGTAGTCCAGCTGGTCCACATGACTGTGCATGCTCACCAGGTCTATCTTGGCTTTGTCATAGGTCCAGGAGCCAAACTTCATGGTGCAGTTTTGCTGGTCAAAGGGGAAGAAGGTCACATCGATGCTGCAGGAGCTTTTATAGATAGCAGGTGGCATCCATTTAATTCTCCCATCATAGAAGAGGTGGGCCTTGGTCAGGTGGGTGACTGCAAAGTCACCGTCAGCACTGGGGAGAGATAGATAAAAAAAGACTAAGGCTTCTCTGGGATATCTCAACTTTGTTAAAAAAAATAATAATAAAAAAAGGGATATTTAGTGCCTGGCTTCCAAAAAAGCACTTGGGGCACCGGAGAGGTGCAAGAGGAACATCATACGCAAACACTGGATCTGGCCACTCTACCCAGTGGGTTTCACAGTCTGTCGGTTTATGCAAGAGCTAGATTTGCATGCAAATGTCAGCCCTCACTTTGCATAGGTCAGGCCCTTGAGGTGAATATACACAAGTTTTCAACAAAGGTGTCCCATTAACACCCTGGAGAGGGCTGAGTTTACTTTAGAGAGGTGGGAGAAACCACTATCAGGTAGTGTGGGTGTGGGCTCTGCAGAATTAATTGTGACAGCTGCTATAAATGAAAGAGTGTTGGGTAATCATTCAGTCTCTTACATGAAAAACAGCAAGCACTTCCTATTAATAGGAATAATGAAAGTTAATCTCTTGATTTCCCAGTCAGGGAGAGAGCTGCCTTTTGTGGTGTCTTCTTACAGGGACTCTCAGTTGGGGTCTGCGTGCTGGTATAAGATAAATAGATAACAACCCAGGATTTTATATCAGAAAGCCATTTTCCAGCCAGTGTAAAAGCTATTCCACACACAGCATTTTTTTTTTTTTTTTTTTTTTTTTTTTTTGGTTTAGATCTGCTTTTCTCAGCTGATCAGTGCACTGATTCCTCCCAGCACCGTGCTGTGCACCCGTGACAGCGGCTGCTTCCAGCTCGTCATGGGGACTGGGATATGGATGAAGAAGATCCGAAAAGGCAACAGAGGAGGCAAGTGCACTGGGGATTTGGCGTTGGAGAAAAGGAGGGAGACTGAGAAACCCTGGGAATGGGATCCCCAGCCCTGGAGACCTCCACCTGCCTCAGCATCATCAGCCACAGCTCCGCTACTACACGTTAAACATTGGGCCTGACTCTTGGCCCTGTGTGTGGAGGCCACAGCAAGAAATTAGCTCATTAACAGATCCAATTAGCACAGCAGGCGATTAACGCCCTGCTTGGCTATGCCATCGAGAGGGGCTGTTCCCTCCCTGCTCTCAGTGAAGAGCGTATGTGGACTGTGACACTTCAACTCCGTGTCTGGAGCCACGGGTCCTTTCTCTACAGCAAAGTCCTTCTTCCAGGCAGCGTCCGCAGGCTCTGCAGCCTGTTAGCTTACACAAAGAGGCAAAGCTGAAGCTTTCAGAGCTGCACAAGCAACACAGCTCCTTGCTGGAATAATCGTCGTGATGGGGACTGGGTGTTTGAATCACAAAATTGCACCTTTACCTGAAAAATGAGCCAAGCCCCTACATCCGCTGCCCTCTTTGTGCAGTGACTGGCTGAAACTTCAAACCCTCTCCCCTCCCTCGATTTCTATTTGCAGACAGAGGATTTTGGTATTCTTGGACGGTCATGACCTGGATCAAACACCCTGGTTGAAATAGCCTTCAAATGCGGATGAGGTTTGGATAGAGATGCTTTTTTTTTTAAAAAAAAAAAAAAAAAATCATGAGCAAATGCCTGAAATCTCAACCAAATGAAGCAGGTGCAATCACTTTGTAGAGCAATGCCCTCAAGTCTAGCTACAGGAATCAAGGAAAGAGCATTCAAAAAGCAGGGAGGGAACTGGGGACCATCTCACACACCCGGCTGAAGCCACTGCAGAGCTCAGGGATACAGAGGGAGAAGCCTGTTGGGTGATGCTGCGTCACAAACAGCCACGCTGCTCAACAAAGGGGAAGCAGAGCAGGGAAGGGAGAGCTTCTGCTAAAAACTTGAGATGAATTATTCAGGCTGCTATAGATGGAAAGCTTTCTGATCCTGCCCAGCCCTTCCAGCTGGAGCCGATCCAGCCTGCAGCCACTTTCCCAGCAATGGGCAAAGTCCCCTGGCCCTGCTCCGCTGCTTCAGTGCTCAAACGTGCCGTGACAGCAGCCGGAGAGCGACGGGGTGCACGGGGACACACACACCTCTCCTCTTCCTCACCAGCAGCAAGATAAACAGCACAGGGACCGTCCGGCAGGGACCCTCACAGTGCTGAAGGTAGAGCAACTTCCCTAAATTTATTTCTTTAAGGAGACCATCCATAAATTCATAGGAAAAAGGGAAAAAAACCCTCAAACTTTCTGCTATTTCGTCTTGCCCCATGAAGCATCCTCGTCAGTCCCTGACCACACTGGTCTCCGGTAAGGCTGGTGTCGTGTGGTTTGTTTTGGTAAACAGCAGCAGGATCTGGCCCTCAGGAAGCGTCTTGGCTAACTTACGGTATCTAGACAGAGATGGCACATCCCCCCAACTCCCAAGATCACAGCCCAGATCTTTGGTTTTTTGAGACAGTTTTCCAGGTTGCTTGAATTAATGGTAAAAGAAACTCAGAATTCCTGCGTGGTGGAGAACCAGTTTTTTACTAAAGTCGTCTTTGTTTCTATAATTTAAATTATATTGTCTTTGCTCTTTGTGGCAGATTTTGGAAAAACGAACACAAAAAGACCCAGTGCTTTTTAACCTCTGGACTTTTTCTAAAGCTTTAAAATGTCTTAAGACAGGAAAGCAGATGTGTACAAATCCAGACTAGCTGGTCAAACTGTTGTGTCTTAATCCAACACAAATAAAACCAAGCAATGACACTGTGCCACCCAACCAACTCCTTTCTTATCGCTTCATTCTCAAATCTAATTTACACTCCAGGACCACTTGCTCTGGATGAAAATAATCTTTTTTTCTTTTTTCCTCCTGGGTTTTGCCTGCACTCTAAAGCCAGATTGAGACACGAAACATGCACAGCAAGCAACAGTCCGGTGTTTGCTGTACTCGCTGGTTTCCTTTATACATCTCGATAGGAATTTGGAATCCAATTCTGGATTTAATGAGATCTCTGAGGCACGATGAAATCATTCATTAATGGAACAGTATGTGGTTGGACTCATGTTACAGAAAAGGGATAACGGGCATCCACTAGTGTTTCCCTTCTTATTTGGAGCAATGCGTAAGTGGCTGAGTAAACTACACAGGGGCGTGTATTTCCTTTTGAAAATCATTGGAAAAGAGCTTGAAATTCTTGCTGAAAATTAATCCAGAAACAATAATAATTCACGTAATTGTGTTTCATTCCCAGAAAGGTCTCGTCTGGCAGTTCTGCAGCCTCTGCACCACTAGCCACACACCTCTCTTCTGCAAGCGGAGATGTAACCAGAGGGATGATGATGATCTCATGCATCAAGTATTTCCATAAATGATCTGATTCTTTGATGAAGAAGATATTTTTTAAACCGTTCGCCTAACAAACGCAGCCTCATCAGGCTCACACATCGTTACAGGTAACGCGGGTACCGCCTTCCAAGCTGCAGTGCCACGGCAGGAGTGAAACCAGCAGCAGAACTTCTTGCCTTTGAGTCAGCTAATGACTCTCACCAGCCACAAACCACCCCGGGATCCTCCCGCTTCGCCCTCACCAACCTAACAGGGCTGTGAAGCAATTCCTGACTTTACTGGGCGCGTTTGAACTTCTCACTGCAGTTCAGCGTAGAGATATTTGAGCAATTCGTAAGCAGGGTAAATGAGCCGTGCTGTTGTACGTAGACTCCATCTAAGCCAACTATAGCATGCAAAGGTAATGTTGGCAGGTGTCTTAACCCTTCATGCATACATACATTTTTTGGCTCCTTCCCCAAGATTAACCCCCACACTGGACCTTCAAGCATATGCTTACCAGATTGGAATCTACTCGTGCCCTGATGTTGCTTTTGTCCTGGGTGAGGCTTTCATTCTGCTCCTCTCGACACCAAATAGGGAGCAAACTAGGTCACTTGGCTGTTGATGGTCTTCCAAAGGCCTTCCCCGGTCTTCTCCAGGGGATGAAGGTGAGACAACTGACCCCAGATGAAGTCTGCAGTTAGATCAGGGAAGCCCTGTTTTCTTGTGGAAAGCTTTGCTGTGGGAAAACCCTCTCCTGGCCAAGTTATGCCGACAGCCCTGGCTGCATAACGTGAATATTTCCTCAGACAGGAAGGTGGGAGATCTGATAGAGTGGGACGGAGAAAATCCGCAGTCATTCCTTTATAGCAGTCGCACATTTTCTTCTCATTCAGTCTAGATCACTGTATTGTGACAGTTGTCACGAAAAACGATTTGGGAAGAGGAGCAAGCGCAAGGTGAACATCACAACAAGAGCCTGAGATTTAAGATCAGGATCTCCTGATTACTCTGACCTGACAGCTCTAAAAATCTGTCAGTAATAAAGTACTAGGGCTCCTACATGTTCACATCAAATACAACAGTGCACACCAATAAAGAGGAAAGACAGTTGCTTATTCCTTCGCCAACAGAAACAGCGCCGCTGCGTTCTGCAGCTTTTGATTCCTCATTTCAAGAATAAAGGCTGATCTTCTAAAATCTAAGTTTATAAGGTTCAAGACCGGCATTGTTTTACTGACAGTCATCAACCATATTTCATTAAAAAGCTCGGCTGATGGTGATATGTTGGTTTTTGGGTTTTTTTTTACCAGCTTCTATTTTCCCTGCAGTTGGGAAGATACATCATCTCACAAAATTAAATGTTTTCAGAATGCATGTAAATGAGGCACACATTTATTTTCATTTCTGATGATACAATTTATATCCAAACAGAGCTTTAAAAGCCTGAAAATTAGTTATATATACATATGGATATAGCAAGAATGTCCTCATTTAAAGCATTTTTCATTGAACAGCAGTAACCAAAACAAATTAGAGTTTCAAGAATGTTTTTTTTTTAAAAAAAACGTACCCTGCACCCTTCTGGTAGACATTAAAGAGATGCTTCCGTAATGCTGAGATTAAAATACTCTTCAAAACCAAATCGGAGAATATTTTATTTAACGATTGTTTTGTAGTTACCATTTTAGCAGCACAAATTCACGGGTTGGAAGGGACCTCTGGAGACGATCCCATTCAAAGTCCCTGCTCAAAGCAGGGTCAGCCTCAAGAGGATCAGAACCTTGACCAGCTGAGTTTTAAAGATCTCCAAAGTCTTGGCAACTTGAGTACAAAACACCTTGGGTACGCAGATGGAGGTGTCTGTGCACTGAGGTGTACTTCTTCAGGTCACATCCAGCTTTTGCTTGCTTCAGCTGTTTAGAACTCAGTGGTAACTGATATTTTGATTGTTCCTCAGGAAATAAGCCCCTGTCTCAGAAATAGCTGTGCTACACCAGTGAAATGCGCACAAGTTTCTCAGAAGGCTCTAACAGTGCTGAATTTGTGCATTTTGCTTCAATTCTTCCCTTTGCTAAGCACCCTCCTCAGCACTTTGGAGGCAAAACTCTAGCTCTGTCCTTAGCGTAATGGTAGGGGAAGTCCTTGGATGCTAACACAGCACCAGTCCATGAGACAGATCCCTCTTACAGATTTCTTTCTATCAATTCCTGTATTACTGGGTAGAGCTTGGCAGCAAACCTCAGAGGCATCTGGAGATCTCATTCCTCTCCAGAAACATTAAACTCCCAGAAGAATCAGGAAAGCTTAAGTGTGAAGTAAGCTATTATGGGCCTATCATAAGTACAACCTGGTGCAAAATGAGAAGACTCTGCAAGTACACACATACACACAAAGAAAAATGTCAAGAACGTTTCCGATATTTTAAAGGTTAGACCAGGGCATCTTTTGATATTTCTCCTCCAAACATCTTTGGGATGAGTCAGGAAACCGGTGTTACTCTAAGTGTCACTGGTTTCAAGCATCATAGTACAGTTCAAACGAACTCATTGCTTCCTCATGATTTTCAAAAGCTGCCTGCCAGATGATCTAACCCAGCCCAGTCATCCTTTGTGTCCATATTACCACTGGGTTAAGTCCTCAAGATAGTTCCTACTCCTAATTACAGAAATTTGTGCCCAAATTCTCTTAGTGTATGATCTAGTCATTTAGTCTTTTTTTTGTGTTTTGTTTTTTTGTTTTGGGTTTTTTTTGTGTGTGTGTTTTTTTGGGGTTTTTTTGTGAGGGTGGAGGCTGAGGCAGAGATTACTTTTTTGGAACAGCTAACACCGGAAAATATTGACAAAACAGAAAATTTTGAAGTCTGAATGTTCCCAAGTAGCTTCTTCCAAGGTTTTACAATCATCAGGCTAGAGAAGGCAAATGCTATGGTGTTATCATGAATATCCAGTTGAAAAGCAGCCAGTGAAGCTCACATTTCAAGTGCCCTGCCCATCATTAGGCTCAGGGACATGGTCTTGCATTCCTCTGGGCAGCCTTTAACAGCTGGAGCACCTGGCTGTAAATCTGCAGTTTCAGGATTTTCTCCTCTGGAGTTTCAATGTTGGATGGGGTCCAAATGGCTCAACACAGTAGTGGAGAAGCAAAAAAAAAAAAATTGAAATGCAGCCTCAAGAGCTTATTCTCTGTTTAGACAAAAAAGCTTTTTTTTTTTTTTTTTTTAAATTTACAAAGGAAAACTAAAATGTGTGTAAAGTCCATTCATGAATGGAAAAAAATAAGTCAAAGCAGAGGATAATTCATTTATAAATGATTTGGTGGTGTCTGAAGAGCCTTTACAGCCTCAGATAAGGAACAGCTGGCCTTCTTGGCAGAGGAAGAGGCTTTGTCGCTTCCCTATTAACTCATATTCCTCTGTTATACATATGCTTTGTCACTTCTAGTAGAAACTATTTACAGAGTCTTGGAACTTCTCTCATCAAGCCTGAAAATTCAACAGCATATTAATTTCCCTGTAGGATATTAATTCGGTTTTACATTCCTTATGAATGTTGACAACTACATATACTCTCTAGGCCAAACCAGCTGAATTTACTGATTTAATTTGGGCCTCTAGAGTGGATAAATGGAAGTTTTTGACAATAATGAGCTTAGATATGAGAATAACCTCACAACAAGGGGTTAGGTTTCCTTAAAGATGTAAATCTCAGAACAATTTAAATTTCACTATTTCCATATATACACACCAAGGTGAAAACGGAAGAGGCATTTGTGTGATCTCCTGCCCAGGAATTCTCTTTTCCAGAGGATACCACCCCAAACAGAAATACAATACTTCTGTCAGAGCATGCGATAAGCGATAAATAGCTCACAGTAAAAAGCCTGAACAGTGCCAAAGGCCAGTGTGGCCACTCACTCTCTCTTCCACCAAGGTCTCCGCACACATTCTCTTGCTCTTAGGGACTCAAAATTATGTGCATCTATTTAAATTCCCTCTAAACAATACATATATTATATAATATGTAAAATATGAGAGAGGGAGTCCTTGTTAGCATCACCCATGACTAGTCACTGCCTTTTGCAAAGCCTTTCGTTCTGAAACATTTCGAGCCGAGATGCCCACAAGGAAAAACACTGGTTATGCAGTTGGGGAGCTGCCATGCAGAAAAGCCTCATCTTGGTGTCCTGTCACACCACGGATTCTGCCTTGCACGCATCGCTTTTGCCCTGCAACCCCTAAAACCCAGTTGTTAGAGCAGCGCAACCGAGATACTGACTGTGGCTTCAGACGTGTCTGACAGGAAGTTAGGTGGAAGAGAGAAGAAAACCATTTATGTAAGGCTGTGTGAAAGACTATGGGCAAATGTAGCTCTAAAGAGGTATAGAATTAATGTAAAACCATTACTGACTGGCTAAGGGTTGGCGCCTGCACCCATGTTTAATTCATACATAAAGGAATCAATTAAAAATGCATGATAGACTTAAGATAACCAACAGAGGAATTAATGATTATTAATGGGAGGTACGGATAAAGGGAGAGAAGTAGTTTGGATTTAGGTAGCTGGGGCACTAGACCTCCTTGCAATGGTAGCAGGTGACCAGGCAGTTAGACTGGCTACCTGCCACACCTCCCTGCAAGCCAGACTGGGCCAAGCAATCTGGCGGGCAAGGCTGAAGGACTCGCACCCCAGAGAAGGGGGAGGACATTCCGGACTAGCTGCTGTGGCCAGCAGGTAGGCAGCTGGCCCTGGAGTCCCTCTAGTTCTCAAGTGACAGCGGCAAGGGACTAGGAGAGCAGGGCAGAGGGGCAGAAGCCAAAGGCTACCCCGCTCAGAGGTCTGGGGGCTGCTTTCATCCTCAAGTCTTAAAATGTTTAGAGCACAAGAGGATGCCGAGGCCTCCTTCCCTAGTGCCAGGGCCCTCCTGGCATAGACCATGCTCTTCAACCGCGGTGAGCCAAGGGAGCAGGTGCAGAGATGACACATCAGGCTCTTGTGTACCAGTAGCTCCAGCAAATGGATGGTTTGAAGCACAAAGATCCCATAGACAACGGAGGTTTGTGCAGCACTATTTCCTTCGGCACTACGGTCCACCAAAACAACCACCAGAAGCTCCAAAAATACTAATCCTTACCATTGTCATTAATTAAGCAATGAGAAGGACAAGGACACCCATTTTTTTCCAGAAGAAGTTGTGAACACCTTTCTTGTCTGAAACGGGAGGCACTTGTAATATAATATTCATGCTCACAGAGTGTCCCTGTGGGACTGGAGGGTTCAAGTGCCTTGGAATTAGTCCCAGCCTTTGGTCTAATCTCCAAAAGGCGCTATGTGAGGGTGCAGTGATTTCCGAGAGGTTTGCAATCGCGCCACACCACTGAGGATCGGAGACGGGCTAATGGGAACGATAACAATTTGCATAGTCTCCAAAGCTCACAATCCTCTGGACAGATTTCCCCTTCAGCCGTTTTCTCATAACAAAAGCATAATCATATCAAACTAGAACCAGGCAAGTGTTTATTAAAAATGAGCCTGGCTTCCGCTGTGTTTTCTCCGAGTGTTAGCCACACACAAAGATGGTTTTGTTTGATGCTTGCAGTAAGTGTTTTCTCTGGAGCCTGTGCTGGGGAGGGAGACTGGGATACCCTACATCCTAGGAGACTGTGAGCTCTGCTACGATAAGCCAAGGAGAAAACAGTCTTGGCACTTGGACAGTCTTTCTAAGAATATCAACAGGCTCCAAAGGAAAGAAGAAAAACAACCACCCACTCTCTAAGAAGTGTCCATACAAGGAACAGATTTTAAGACATCAGGGACAAATAACTATTAAAGAATAATTCGAGAACTGTATTGAGCTGACCCAAAAACCTGTATTTGTAGACACACAAGTCTGACATGTCTCAGCATATTTTCCTTAGTAACTGGCTTCTCCAGTTGATGGTGATGAATTAGGTGAGAGCGCCTTGGTGAAATGAATTTGAAGAGGACTGAAAGCTCAAATCCAGTTCAATTGTGTATCATCTGACATGTGAAGAGAAAACTACACCTGACATCCCCCAACAAAACTTGCTGTTCAGAGAAAGGATTGTTAGGAGAACAAAGCCCCGGTGATGAATGTTAGTCATGTCATTTAAGACACGTCTAGGACTGATATTATGAGAATTTAAATAGAATTCAACCACAGAGAACAAACCAAGGAGGAATAATTGCAAGAAGCACCTTAACAGTATGGGCAGAGAAAAATCTGTAAGGATGGGTTTGGCCCCTGGCCACAATGCTCAGACTCACTTGTTGTAGAGGACGATATCCGGCCTCCAGATGAGCTCCGAGGGGATTCGGATGGATGTGACATTTTCATACTCCTGGGGGTCCCAGCGTAGCTTATAGTCGTGCCACTCCTGCCAAAACCAAGGTGGTTACAAAGCTGGGAGGGTTCAGATCACAAAATTGAAAAGGAACATGGAAAAACACGTATTTTGGCGCACCCACCTGCTTCACCCACACGTTCGTGGTCATCATTTGATTTTTCTCATCCTGAAAGGCAAGAGCGGATAATGGTTACAAAAGCAGATGAAGCAGCCCAAGGAATTTAATTTCTCTTAGTTGTACTTGATTTCCGTAATGATAAATCACCTCTGCGACAAATGTAAGTTCCATCTTCGAAATAAAAAGCAGATGTTTCCATCATTTAACATGGGACAGGGCACAGCTGCCTGAGAGCACTGAACAGCTGAGCCTGCACCTAAGCAATCTTGTGAGCAGACGGACTTGAATTTATTGGGATTTTCCCCGGTGCTGATTGATTCAGCCTAGGATGATGGGCCCAGGCAGAGGAAAGAGCTCCACAGCTTGGCTTTGAGCTGAGCACTGAAGGAAAGGGAGCGATGGAGAGATATATATGTCCTTACTCACACATGTGTATGTGCGTTACAGTGCTCAACTTCAAGTCGTGTTTAGTACTTCTAGTGTGAAACAGCCACGAACAGAGCTCTGGAAACATGAAACTCAGCAGTGTTTCTTCTTCTACCAAATACATGAACTTAAGAGCACTGTGGATTGGATTTTATGAATAAAGCCAAGCCACTCTGCTGACACATAACCCTTGGACAGCTGGGGTATACCCATGCTGTCAACTGGTAGAGTTTTTCCCCAACTCTAAGTAGTATGGAAAGGCAGAAATATATACACACACAGACTTTTAAATAATGTAAGGCACATATAATGCTGGCAACACTGCAGTAGAATTAATTACTGCTTGTTGCTTGCCTTGCATGCTTGTTATAATCTATATGCAAACAACTAAGATGAATCATGTGGGGCAGAGCCTAGTGCTGGTCTAGTGTCACACGGCAGCTCAGAGCTTATTTGTGTGTTCGTTCCTTTTCTCTCTCTCTTTGGTCAGCATCAAAACTAGCATGATTGGCAGGGCCCGTTTGGAGGCAAACTGCTCTTCATTAAGCTGTGGCAATTCGAGATTAATTCTGAACATGGAAAAGCCAAGAGATTCAGGTGGGGGGCTGTGACTCCCCCTTGCTGGGCCTCCTCACTGCTGTTGTGGCACCTGGTCCCCGCACCTGGTGTTAGGGACCAGAAGCACACAGAGGAAGGAGGAATACAAAAACCATTCAGATGAGCAGCAAAGAAATGGAAAAAATCCAGCCACTTCCTTGGGTGCCGATGGGAGATGAGGAGTGGCACTGGAGGAGGCTGCATGCCCTGGACTAGACCAATCCTTGAGCATCTGCTTCTCTTCCATTTTGCAATTCAAGCATCTGGGAGTCTCCACCACAGAACCTGCACTGGGGATCCCAGTCTCACAGGCACTACCCTTTACCGGAATTTTCCTCCCTGTCTGGGTGCAGACCCTTGGTGGGAACTCCTGCCCATCACTACTCCCAAGGGCTCTGCCATCCTCCTGACCCAAGCGAAACGTGACTCTAGTCCTATGGTTTGTCCTCACAGGGGGGGTTTGCCATGTGCTAATGGCTGCCTGCCTCCTCCACCAGCACGGCCAGCTGACTTCTGCACGGGGACAGCAGGTGATGCTGCAGCTGACAGTGGCGTTGCACTGCCTGGCCTCTTTTCCCAAGGTGAACCCAGCACAGGGGGTCCTGCAGAGACATGGGCTTAGGAATCCCAAAGGGTTTCTCAGTGGCTGCTCCTAGACACATGCTTCATCCCTTGCCACTTTTTTCTGAGCTCAGAAAACCCTCAGTACGCCGGGGTAAGGTAAGGACACATAGGGATGTCAGGTTCCACATTGATTTTTTTTTTTTTTGTTCCCCCCTCACCCAGCTTTTGTCAGCAGGAGCTGGGGTTTGAATGCGGCTCTGATTTCTCTTTCAGACTTCTTGTCGTTGGGAGCCGAATGTTGGATCTAACAACTGCAGCAGGGTTTGCACCAAAACAGTGTCACTGTCGGGAAGGGGGAGAGACAGCTGAAGTGCTGCAGTGGTGGGAGGGGGTGTCATCAGTCCCCAGCCACGGGGACCGGGGCAGGAGGGGATGAGAGCTCTCCTCCAGCAGTGCCCACTGCCCCGACACAGAACTGCTTGCTAGTTGCACTTCTAACTACTGACATGATTTTAAGAAGATTAATTCTCCTTAAGTAAACTGAGAAAAGCACTGTGAAGCAGGTGTATCGATTCCCCCTCTCCCACAATTCAGCAGCTGCATAATGGAAAGTCTCTCTCATGCCTCCACAGTCACTAATGTCTCATCTTTAGTCTTATCAATTATTCAGATGAGAACTGTACAACTTCAACATTAGCAACTGCAAACAGCCCTGGATCCCTCAGGCTGACGTAAGGGAGAGGAGAGGAACGGAAGACCATTTCCATGCTCCAAAGCTGGAAGCTGATGGCTTGGGCAAAAGGAGATGCAGCTCTCCAGCACCCAACGTCTTTGCTTGCCCGCCACCCGCACCACCTCGGCTCCGGTTCCTCTGCATCCCAAAACTCAAAATATAAAATGTTGTGGAGAGTCATCTGCTACAGTTGTCCCACACCAGTAACATCTTTAAGCTGCATGACACTTTCCATTATCACCCCTTGTACTCTGCCACAGGAATACAATAAAAAGTGACTGAAAGCCTCCAGAAACAAGGCCGATACTTGGTCAAGAGTTGTGCGTCTACACAAATACACTGTCCCAGGACATGACGTGTGCAAACAGGGACAGGAGGGAGAAGCGTGTAGGAGCAAGGTCTGTACAAGCTAGAAAGCCTCTGTGTGTGCTTAACTTCTGCAGCCCTGCAGGGATCTCCTTCGGATTCAACACTTGACCCCAACACACTGCAGTAGAGTAATCCTTTAAACACCATTTCAGCGGGCATCAGTGCGGAGCGCCAACCACTCCTTTTTGTACGCAGCGCATGCCGTTTACACATGTGCAACTGCTATTTGAGCAAACGTTCAGAGACAATTTTCTTGTTAATATCTGCCAGATTAGCTAAAAACCCTCAAAACTTTCGTTTGCAGAAAGCTCTTCAGGCAAGCGGTCTTCCAGAGATACATAAACCACCGTTCCTATTAGTTTGTGTAAATTAGTGTTAGTAATTATGGCTCAAATTCCAAATCAGCTATTTATTTTTTGCCTTAGCCAAGACTCTCTGGCATTTACGCCTGTTGCTCCACTGCTTTGCTGTGGCCGGTCCCACCAGTTTTGTTAAGGAATTTAAAATTTTGCCTATAGTAAACGAAGAATAAAGGATCCGCTTTGATGACCAGCTACTCACAGGAGTCATCCCTCATTCCAGCAGAGCTCTCTGCATGATAACTCTTCTCTGCTGAGAGCAGAGGCTTCCCAAGCTGACCCTGGACCAGTCTGTAAAGCCCACATCCACCAGGAGCCTCTCCCTGAGCCCTGACCCGGTCAATCTTGGCTGCTCATTGCACTATTGGGTTGCACTTACAACATCGATGAGCTGGGCAATGGACAAGCCGAAGCGGACGAGGACCACATCAGAAATGTTGGCGACGGGGCGGGACCACTTGTTATAACCAGAGAAGAGTTTCTTCAGGAGACGCTCCTCCGCGTGGGCTCGGGTTTCCACGTGGCCGAAGGCTGTGGGGAAGGCATGGGGCACAGTGGGGTGAAACACGCGTAGCTCCAAGCACCGGCATCGCTGGAGCCGCCTTCTGGGGGGATCCCCAGGCTAAACCCAGCGATGGGCAAGTAGGGACACATAGGAGGGTGATGCCACCCTGGTGACTTGCCTCTCTGCTACCCCCAGGCATTGCCAGGTATTTCTCTTTCTGTTCACCCACCACAGCCAATTCCCAATGGAGGGTTTCCGTTGCAGAGCAGGATTGGTCTGCAGAAAGTGAAGGCATCACTAAGACCATCTGAAAAACTCTAGACGGGCCATTCCCACCTGAATCTGGACTTATTTTTGTGGCCACTTTGCAGCAAGATTCTAGCCCTAAAGTCTGCGAGCAGGAAAGAGGGATGCTAGAAGGGCAAGGCAAGAAGGAAAAAGTAGCCTCCTGTTAGGGATTTTGGATCAGATTTACACATAAAAACTGGCACAAAACACATCACACACACACAAAAAAAAAAAAAAAAAAAAAAAAAGTCTCTCACAAAAAATGGTGGGTGAGAAAGAGGATGGGGGGGAAGAGCACAAACTGGGTAACAAGAGAACAGTTTTCCTCAATAACGACTTCAAAAGTTCGAGGCTACAAGGAGCAGCCCTGACTCTGCACATACACTACGGGAACTATCGAAGGTGCTTGTTGGTTATGGAAAAAAAAAATAAAAAAATTAAAGCCACCCTCCTTCGGGGGGCTGCCAGGGGAGCTGCGCTCCCATGCCGGCTGCACGCAGCCGCATCCTCCGCCGCGGGCGGTGGGGAGAAGGAGCCGGGGGCTCTCCCCGCATCCCTCACGGAATATGGCTCCTACTTACTCTGTAGCTGCCCTGGATTATACAAAGGGAAGCATTAGCCGAGCGCTGCCTGTGCTCTCCCCAGCCGGAGCTGTAGCCCGGAGACACATTAACACACTTTACCCAGGGAAGAAAAACCCAGGCTGGGAGGAGGATGGTGAACCCCTGCCTGTATCGTCCCTCCTGTCCCCTTTCCCAGCGCGGCTTTAACCCTTTCCCCATCACAGAAAATAAAAGCAAAGCAGAGGGGTGGGTGTGTGTGTGTGTGTTTGTGTTTGTGTTTAGGGGACCCGTAACGATGGGGCAGGAGGATGCAGCAGTCGGGGGAAATTCCTTGTTGACAGGGACGGGAATTCGCAGCATGCCTTTGAGAGGGATAAGGGAGAAAAGAGCTAAGGAGCGGAGCAGGGGTAGAAAAGCTTCTCAAACTTACCGGGGAAGACGCTGGCACACAGCAGGAAAAGGAGGTTTCCTTTAGACACGAGAAATCCCATCGTGGAGCAGAGCTCAGGCTCTAGCACGCAGAGTCTCCCGTCAGGACAACTTTTCCTCTCTGAGTCTCTGGATCCTCCAGCTTCATTCCCTTAAATTCCTTTCTTTCTCTCCCTCTCACCTGCCTTTTGGGAAGGGATAATAGCTGGTGGTTTGGTTTTGCGTTTTCTCTTCTGATTCCCAGCTCTCCCTCCTAGAAGGATGCTCTTCCCTGGGACACGGACGCACATACACTTGCAAGAGATGTGGAAGGGCTGCAGAAAGCTCCTGTGAAGAGACCTGAAACAGCCTCCCCGGGCTCTCCTGCTCTCTCCTCTTTCCTACGGAGGGGGGGGTTTAGCTGCTCCGTTTATTTGTTGCTGCCGCCGCTGTTTTCACCCTTCCCCCAGCCCTTCCGACAGCCTCTGCTGATTTTCCTGCTGATGGGCCCCCGATGCCCACGCCAGCCCTTGGTGGAGCAGGGAGAGAGCACAGTATGTTTGTATATTTAATATACTTAGACCTGCCCACCTCCTGCTTAGGAGGAGGAGAGAATCTGTGCGCTCCAGCGAACAGGCTGCAGGGGGGAAAACTTTTAGCGTGAGAAATAAAGGGGGAGATCCAGACCCCAGGTGCAGCCCAAGGTGATGGGTATGGGGCCATCTGGGATCTTTATAGCACCTGAAGCCCAAACAGTCCTTAATTAAGGAAAACTGTCTGTTCCATCTTATCCAAGTGCTTTTCAAAATCACTCCTGTAGACTATCAGGGTAATTAGCCGGAGAGATATTTCTGGCCTGGGTATGTATCCTTGCTGCTGACAGTTATTGGGCTGATGAACCTGCCCCTGAGAACAGGGCTGTGCTGGGTGCTGTGCAATGCAGTACAAATCCCGCTGTGAGCCTCTGCCCATCGGCAACACGCAAATCAAAGGTGAGACTGAGACAAGAGGTTGTTTGGGCGTACCTTAAACATACCACGAATAACCCCGTCGAAGCCTTTTTGTGGAGGAAAGGATAATTCCCAGTGTTAGCAAGGAATTATCACTCCGGCCCTTCATCTCACTTCCCTGGTTCCTCGCACGGGAGACACAGAGTAGAGCCTTCTCCATTTCATTTTAAAACTAGCTTTGATATTAACACAATTACTTCCACGCGGATAGCAAATGGATTTCATTTTCAGGCAGGGGTAATGTTGCCAGTTGCAGAATTAATCAAAGTCTGTTCTAATAATACTAGCTACATATTTTATGTATAATAATTTCTCTACTCCCAAAGCACCTCAAATATCTTCCAATATAATAGATTGCTGGCTGAAAATGGGGAGGATTAAAGCCACAAGAGAAATTAGATCTGTAGTGAGATTATAAATAACATCAGTGTAGTACCAAACTTGGCTTGTCTTTTCTTGTCTCATCTCTTCCTCAACAGTTGTCAGCCTTTCAAAAGACAAGCCCACCATATTTTCCACTGGGTGTATGGGCTCCTGTATGCTTTGCCTGCCTTGCTTTCAGTGTCCTGACCCTCACTGCAGCACCTGAGCACCTGTGACATGCTATAAAAATTCGTAGTGCTCCTTCCAGCGAACCATCCAGCGTTAATTTAATAAACTGCAGATGTGAGATCAAATTAACTGAAAGCTGAAATGCAGGTTTCGATCCTGAGAGCCAGATCCTGTGCAGCACTGAGCACCTCTCCCTCGCCCAGCCAGCAATAAGGGAGCAGAAGGGTAATCATTCCTCATCGGGGCACAACCAGCACACTGCAACCCCACGTTCCTAAACATCCATGCAGCAACCAGAAAAATCCATTTCTCTAAACCCCTTTGCTCTATGAAATCTGGAGGGAGGGGGATGTCACTGCAGCTTGCACACTCCTCTGCTCCTCGCTGGGTCCAGCACTGATCCGTCCAGACCCATTAAATGGGGAAATCCTGGGTTTCAGCCCATTTCATTCCAGCAACAAGCACCACGTACAACAAATCTAACAAATTCCCAAAGGCTCATGGCGGGGAAATAGGATTTCTAAAGGCCATTTTTCAAGGAGGCTGGTACTCTGCACAGGTCACACATTGGGCGACCAAACCCAAGGGATCCAAGATTAGCTATTCCCTTTTGAAAACCTTGGCCATAAATACTACAGGTATCCTTGACTACAGCCCCTCCTGCACAGAGCTGATTCAAATCCCATGGACAAACCCCATCCATCTTCACCTTGCCTTGGTTTCTATGCTGGCAAGCAAGGTAGCTTGGTGAGCAAACACTGCCTTTAGATTAACCCTATAAATAATTTTGATTAAAAAAGGATTTCCTTCTTTTGGAAATTAATCGTAAATCATTGTTTCTTATAAGTGAAAGGTTTATCCCTCACCTCCCTGGCCCTGTTTTTATATGATGTGGGGAACGAGCATATTTTACAGAGGTTTCTGTGCCTTGAAGTGACCTTGTTAAATCTCACTGCCAGTTTCTTTCTGCATCATTGGGCCATAACAAAATTTCCATCAGCTCCTGTGTGTATTTGGAAGGCAATGTCTTCCCCTGGTAGATGTGCAAGGGACTCAGTCTGACTGGGACAAAAGATGCCATTTAAAGGTTTTAATGATTTTTATTGTGGGAGAAAGCTGCGACTCCGGCCTGATTCTCAGGCATCTGGCTTTGAGCCTCCTCATTATTATTATTATTATCTTCCTTTGTCTGAAAAAGTCATGGATAATTTGAGTAATCCAGATGTTCACAAAAGCTGAATGCAAACATCCCAGCTATTGAAGACTGTAGACTGAACTAAACAGAACTAAAGCAGTGTTTCCCCTGAGGTTTTCAATGAAATCTCAGACTTGTCCTTGGAATAAGGGCAAGCCAGGAACAAGCTCAGGTTCAAGTGTTTTCAGTCATTTAGTAGAATTCCATGATTTCCCAAGAATCTTGTAACTCTTGAATCCGCTGTCTTGCATTCTGCACTCCTGCAAATCTCTTCCTCACTTTACGGCTTTCTCAAATAATTTTTATCCGATAAAAGGCACTGACAGAAGGTCCCTAAGAGTTGGGTACCTGCATATAAACCGTGCCTGAGCCCCCTCTCCTGCCATCACTAGTTCAATATGGAAAAAATTCAACTGCTCAAGGAGGCAGAGGCACGCTGCACTAACAGGGAGTCCCAGGACTGCACGTTTCCTTTGGATTTGCCCTCTCTCTCCATGATCTTGTCTTGGATGTCACAGCCAGCTCTCCAGAGCAAGCCCTTGGCCTCTGTTTATTTTGTAAAATGTCATCTGCATGTTGGAATCTACAGACGTGGGACATAATAATGATAATATCTCCTTACATGTTCTCTGTTTGGGCTTGACACAGGGGACAAAGCTGGTTGATGGAATGCTGGAGCAGCACCATCTTTGCTTTCAAAGGTGATCTGATTTTTTTTTTTCCTTGTCTCCATTCCTGTGATAAAGATTTCTCTCTCCTGGTTCCTGACTGCTTTGTCATCAACAGAATCTTCAGGTGGAGCAAAAGCAGTAGGAAAAAAAAAAAACAAAAACAACACTGAAGGGGGAGAGATCTCCTTTCAGTGAAATGTGCACTGAAATGAGCAGAGCAGAGGGATGTGCAAGGCTGTTTCTCAGAAGAGAGGGCTCGATCTGCCTCTGGGGAAATCTGCAAGGTCCTGCTGGCCTCACAGGAGTGGCTGATTTATTCATATTTATTTCAGATTGCCTGTGAAGTGCCAGAAGACATTGAAAGACGTAAATTAAATATTTTTACTGTGTAAGAGACTTTCGGCCATGCAGGAAAGCTGGGACACCTGCATGGAAGTAAAAACAACAAGAGAAAAAAGCAAGCGTAGTAACGATTCTTTCCAAAGCAGTAGATATGGTCACGAAGCCCAGGTTTCTCCCAGGCTTCTTTCTTGGGAGTTGGCTGTGGAGTGGACGGGTTTCCAACCGTACAATACTACTGTAGCCTCTCATTATTTCCTGGAGCATCCTCGTGGCAATGACCCGACTCTGGGAACAAAAGCGGTGTCATGGCTTTACAGCCAGAAACCAGCTTTCCGTTGGTGATGAGCATCGCGTCTGACCTGCTGCTCCAAAGTTGCATCAGCCACGGGATTCCTTGCTAGACCAGTTCCTATCAAAAAGCACATGCAGGGAGCTGACAAAACTGGCAGCCCCTTGCCTGGCAGCCGGGCTGTGGGTACTCAGGGCCACCACAGGCTCGTGTCCCCCAGGCAGGGCACCCCAGTCCTGACCCAGGACACCCCCCCGTGGTTCCAGCCATGTGGAGATGCTCAGCAGGGCACGGAGCAGAGAATATAGACACTTCACAGGAGGGCAGCATGGCTAATGCAACATCTATCCCTCCTCTCTGTGAGCTGATGGAGGTTTGAATCCAAGTGCAGGGGCCCTAATGCATCAACCTATCGTGTTGTCTTGAAATTCCTGTGCATTACTGAGATGGGAGTTAAGGGAGCTCGGCACCTTGCAGAATTAGCTATATATCTCTGGATATTTTTTTTTTTTTTCTGTATTTACCTCTGGACAGGCTGTGCTGATGGAGAGCAGGGGGAATTCTCTCACCACCTTTGTCTCATGGCTGGTTCCCACTTCTATCTCCCCTCCACAGCTGTGTAACGTGGGGATCATCTTTTTCTCTGACTCATGGTGTCCACCAAATGCACTAATCCAGATATTTCTTCTTCTCTGGATTTCTCCTATTCCCGTTCCTCACTCAGACATATCCTGGGAATTTCTGGATAAGTCTTATTATTAAAAAAGCAACAAGAGGATTTGTGATTCTGGTTAAGCAACAAACAAAGTGAGTCAACCACTGAAAGTGGAAAGAAGCAAAGCAGCAAGTCGTGGCCTCATTAAGGCCTCCAGTTCTACAACTATTAAAGACCTCATGTTACAAATCAGATGATCCCCCACATCTTATTTGTAAATGCCAGACTTCATTGTAAAGAGCCCGTAGAGAGCAGGGAGGCAGCTTTCACTTCTCTCAAGATCCAAGAAGATGGATTTTTTAAATTGGAGAACAGAAGCATGTCTCTCCAGACAAGTTTGTTCTCCAAGGATAGCTTTGATTTCACTGCTCAGCTTTGTAGATCTAAATTAGGCTCTTGTCCTTCCTTACCAGAGGGCAAATGCTGTCCAATTCATTTGCTAAAGAAATCTGAAGTTGACTGATTGACAAATCCTTTCCCTTTTCTCTTCATAATCAGCACCAGCTACAGATCACATCTTCCCAACCAACACAAACCTGTCCAAGGACGCTGCATGCTACAGACAAAGCAGGGCTTGATGAGAACCGTGGTGTAATTAGCCAGATGAGGTGGCTGAATAAGTTACAACCTCCCCTGTGCTCCTGGCCTGTTGTATTAATTGAAGGGTAATAAATCTGCTGAGCATCCTGGGCTACAGCCGTCAGGGGCTTAGTGGTGCTTGCACCGTCCATCCAGCTGGAGAGTGGAGCTGGGAGCTTCTCCAGCCACCCCTGGTTGAATCAGTGGAGCTCA